TCGAACCATGGTCAGCCATATGGGAATCCAGTGCCCTTAACCATCATGCAACCTGCTGACCCCAGGGGCTGGGATTTGAACTGCAGTCAGACATGTGAGATTTAGCTCCCTTAATCACTGGGCCACAGAACTAGCCCAAATGATAATTTTAATTGGCTCATTCTGGTTGCTGAGTAGTGAGTAGCCTGTGGAGGGAAAGGGCAAAAACAGAGGAAAATGTTAGTAAACTCTCATAGTAATCATGTTGAAAGATTGTGGCTTTGACCAGCATTGAGGTTAATAAAGAAGTGGTTGGATGAATTGCGCATGAGCAGTACCAGTAGCACCACAAAGATGGTGAAGCTAGAGCAAAGGAAAAAGGTCTCTTTGATTCCAGAAAATCTCCTTAAAAAGAGAAAAGCTTATCAAGCCCTCAAAGCCACCCACGCAAAGCAAGCACTTTGGCATGAAAAGAGCAGAGAAAAGAGAAAGGCCCCAGATTTCAGCAACTGGAATCATTCTTAAAGAATTCCTGGAGGCAGAAGCGTCACTTGGTACATCTCAGACAACTTGAAGTGAACCCTCATGCCTTGGAAATACCTGATAAACATGCATTGGCCCTCGTTATGTGTATCAAAAGGACTGATGGGGTGAGTTCAGTGGTGCAGAAGACCATTGCAGGACTGCGTCTGAAGACGATTTTCAGTGGTGTTTTTGTCAAAGTCACTCCTCAAAGCCTAAAAACACTGCGAATAGTGGAACCTTAGTGACCTGGGGATCTCCAAATCTGAAATCTGTCTGGGAACTCATCTTGAAACATTGGCAAGCCAAGGTCAAGAATAAGACCGTCCCTCTGACAGGACAACACAGTGATTGAAGAGCATCTAGGGAGGTTTGGTGTCATGTGTTTAGAACACCGCATTCATGAAATTGCCTTCCCTGGGGAAGTATTTCCAAGATTTCTCATGTTTCTTGTGCCCTTTTCACCTTTCTGTGGCCTGTCATGCCACTGAGAACCAAGTGGGCTTCCTCAAGGATATGGGCTCACCTGGCTACCAGGGTGAATGCATCAATCAGCTCATCTGCCAGCTGAACTAGATCCAGAATCCCTGAAAGCACAGTGTGTTGGAAACATGTGCTTTTAGCTTTTTGAATTGTGTCTTCAGAGAAGATTATTGTGTGGTCCAATTTCAGAAACTGGAAAGGAAGAGTCTTGAAAACATAGTAGTTTATGTTCGTAACAGGCACCCCTCATCACAGCCCAGTGGCAAAGAAAAATTCCAGCATTTTTCATGTTGGCTACTGCCTTCTCTGAAATTAAGCATATGCCATGGAGAAGGGAGCCCTGCTTCATCACATCTATCCTGGGCTTTAATGTTGGTGAATGAATAACCCAAACTTGTACAAGGTTCCCCAAGACTCCTGCAGGAGTGGACCAATTCTGGGGCATACTTGAAACTGGGAGTTTCTGGGGCCTTTTTTTGAAAAGACTTAAAATATAGTTTAAAGAAGCACCAAAAAAAGAAAAAATATATTGGTAGGTGGCATGATGGTTAAGGCACTGGCTTTCCACATGGCTTACCTTAATTCAAGCCCCAGACCCAGCGGCTTGAAAATCATGTAGGATACATAAGCATGCGTGTCCCAAATTCTGAGAAGAGAATCAAGGAGAATGAATTGCATCATGGCTATCCCCACTGCGGGGGTGATTTATCATTTTCCCACACTCTGTGTCTCTCTGGTGAACGCATGTACCCTACAGCAAAAAAAAACTTCAAGCCCCAGACCCAGCGGCTTGAAAATCATGTAGGATACATAAGCATGCATGTCCCAAATTCTGAGAAGAGAATCAAGGAGAATGAATTGCATCATGGCTATCCCCACTGCGGGGGGGATTTCTCATTTTCCCACACTCTGTGTCTCTCTGGTGAACGCATGTACCCTACAGCAAACAAAAACAAAAAAGGAAAAGAAAGAAAGAAAGAAAGAAAGAAAGAAAGAAAGAAAGAAAGAAAGAAAGAAAGAAAGAAAGAAAGAAAGAAAGAAAGAAAGAAAGAAAGAAAGAAAGAAAGAAAGAAAGAAAGAAAGAAAGAAAGAAAGAAAGAAATTGGAGATAGAGAACATGGGGGGGGATGAGACCTGAGTCTCATCCTAATTTGAGATGCCTATTAGCTATCCAAATGGACGAGTCAGGGAGACAGTTGCATGTACAAGTCAGGTGTTCAACAGAAAGATCTACATGGAAGGAGAAAATTAGGAGTCATGAACATACAGGTAATTTGTGAAGTTATGCAACTAGATAAGATTATTTAAAAAGCAAATATAGATTAAAAAATACGAAAGTTCGGGAACCAGCAGTTAGCGTAATGGCTTTGTCGCTGGACTCCCACGTAGTCGACCGTGGTTCGTGTCCCAGACCCGGTGGCTTAAAACTCACACCAGGTGCGTGTGCGTGCATGCCCAAGATCCCGAGAGGAGAATGGAGGAGAAGGGATTGCGGCGTGACCATCCCCCCTGGGGGGTGATTTCTCGCTTTCTGTCTCTATGTCTCTCTCTGTCTGTCTGGCGAGCGCACGCGCCCTACAGTGAAAATCTCTCAAAAAAAAAAAAGTAAAAAAAAAAAACAAAAAAGCAAAACGAAAGTTCTACTCCTTGAGTACCATAAAGTGTACTGGTCAGGAAGATGAAGAACCTAGAAAGAATACTGATAAGGAAGAAACAGTATAATAATAAGGAAATGAACATACTTAATTTGGCAAATAGAATATTATTGGTGTACTTAAGACCAGTGTTAGTAGAATGGTGGGAATATGAGCCAAAAATCAGTGGACTGAAGATAAATTGAAGATGTAGTTAAAGCAGTGATTAAATATTACTTGTAAATAATTTCTAAAAGAATTATTTATTACTTTTATTTGTTTAATTTGACCAGAGATACAGAAAGAAAGAGAAGGTGAGAAAGCAAGCTGCTAGGTCTGGGACTCAGACCACGGTAGGCCCCCTGTGGGAGTCCAGCACCCTAACCACCATGCCCCCTGCCAGCTCCCTTGTAAGATAATTTTGATGGTTATAAAGCAAGATAATGAATCTCTCAAGGATGATGGAGAATAAAAAAAAAAATGGCTGTTTTGGGAACCAGCAGTTAGTGTAATGGCTATGTCGCTGGACTCCCACGTAGTCAACCACGGTTCGCGTCCCGGACCCGGTGGCTTAAAAACTCACGCCAGGCACGTGTGCATGCGTGCGTGCGTGCCCAAGATCCCGAGAGGAGAATGAAGGAGGAGGGATTGTGGCGTGACCATCCCCCCTGGGGGGTGATTTCTCGCTTTCTGTCTCTATGTCTCTCTCTGTCTGTCTGGCGAGCACACGCACCCTATAGCGAAAACCTCTCCAAAAAAAAAAAAAAAAAAAAAAACCAAGACTGTTTTTTGGAATGGGAAGCCAAATATCTTTTATATGGATGGGATTTTTGGTGGCGTATAAGGAATATATGTCCTGGTTTAGGTGGTTAAGAGCATTTCTGGAATGAACATACATAATACATACATACATAATTCTGTGCTTTGGTTTGGAATGATGGAGAAAATAATTGAGAAGTAAAGAGCAGACTTTTAGTGCTTTGCATCCATTCATGATATTTAAGGCAGAAGTCTTTTCTACTGAGACAATGGGAAAAAAAGAAAGTATTGATGAAAATACTGATAATTTTTTTTTTTTTTTGGAGAGATTTTCACTGTAGGGTGCGTGTGCTCGCCAGACAGACAGAGAGAGACATAGAGACAGAAAGCGAGAAATCACCCCCCAGGGTGGATGGTCACGCCGCAATCCCTTCTCTTCCATTCTCCTCTCGGGATCTTGGGCATGCACGCACACGCGCCCGGCGTGAGTTTTAAGCCACCGGGTCCGGGATGTGAACCGTGGTTGACTACGTGGGAGTCCAGCGACATAGCCATTACGCTAACTGCTGGTTCCCGAAAATACTGATAATTTTGAGAATGAAAGAAAAAGAACTTCATTTGTTCATTTAACAAGCTTTTATTGACTATTCACTGTCCGATGTTATTCGAAGCTCTGGGTATTTGGAGTGAGCTAAGCAAATATCTTTGATATTCAACTAATGGGGCTTACATTCTAGTGAGGAGTAGAGGGGTATGCATCTGAAGGTTTTGTGCGAGTGCAGAAGAGAGAGAGAGAGAGGAGTAGATGGGCTCAGATAGACTTCTGAGGGGAGTAGTAATGGTTCATGTTAGTTGCTGAGGGGCTTTGGGAAAAGATCCCAGGAGAACCTGAGTCACATACGTGTTTGGTAGCTAATCAACACTGTATGGAGAATTTCTCTTTAAGTACTGGGAACAGCTTGATGGGACAGAATTGGGAATTGTGAGAATAAAGCCTTACAAACCAATATCTATGTAATTATATTTTATTTTTTAATTAAATTTCACAGTTCAAATCATATAATTCTAAACAAAGTATATGTAAGAAAATGTTAATAATATTTGTCTAATCAAAATTCAAAAATTCATGAAAAATACTCATTACTATAAAATGGTAAGGTAAATAAACTCTTGCTTTTCTACTTCTTACTAGCATATTAACCCGACAGAATCATTTGTCTATTGTGCTTTACAATTACTTTTATGATTAATAGGCTTCTAAGTTTTCTGTGCCAACAAATGGTAATTCATCTTGCAACTCGAGTTCTTTTGCTATCTTAGTATATTGTAGCCTACTGTTTTTATTCTGCTGAAATATTTTTGCTTGAATTATTTATGAGGATATAAGCTCTATAGCCAGTAGTTCAGAGCATTAGTGTTCATTTCTGGGTTATGAGTGCTCTGACATCAATCCTATATCAAGGTAGATTGAACACCATTATAGCTGGCATAAAAACATATCTTTAAGCTCATTCAGTCGTTTTCGTAAAGTTAGTGGCTCTTGGTTTTAAATGATAATGAATTTAATTATTTTGTTAGGCCTTACTCCTTGCCTGTTGGACCTCCCTTAAAATACAGTGTAGTGTGTTCTCTTTGGTAGCACATATACTAAAATTGGGATGATACAGAGGTTAGCATGGCCCCTGCGCAAGAATGACATGCAAACTCATGAAGCATTCCATATTTTTAGCCAGAAAAAAAAAATACAGTGTAGCTTTTTTATTTTGCATGAAATTAAGGTATTAGTCATTGTTATTTGTCTGCAACATGGAAGCAGTTCTTATTGTGAGATTCTTTGAGGATTTCCATATATAAACTATGTACAGTATAGGTCTTTTATATGATTACATGAATAGCCAACTTGTCTTAGGTTTGGGGAAAGGAGTTAGTAATTGTCTTAAATAACTTACGATACCAAAGTTAATACTTGAACTGAGCTATTACATTATTGGAAAAATCATGATGTATTTTTCTGTTTTTCTATTCAAAAATACATCATGACTTTTCCAATAACCTACTATTATGTTTAGAATATCAGGTTGAATATGCTTTTCTTTCCCCCAAGTCTGTTTTCTGGATTTCTGTTGTTCCATTGAATACATGGTGAATCTGTTCTTTCATTGAGTTTCAGTACTTTTCTATATTGATAATATTCCAAAATAGTACAGGATTTTTTTTTGTATAATTTCTGGCTATTTAATACCAAAAGAAGATTACAGTTTTTCATTTTAAACTTCCTTCTATAAATAGGCCATAGGATTTAATTAACTTTCCATTAGTATTCTCATTTTCACATGAGAAATCTGTGTTCTGTATGTGAACTTTTATGTAACTAGTTGGTAAAAGGGGGGTGTAATTGATGTTAGAAAATTGATAATTGGCCCATATCAGGATAGACTAAATATTCCCAGTGTTTTAAATCCAGTTTAATAAATATAAAGAAACTTTTGCTGCAGAAGACACCATGCAGATGTTGTGGAAAATTTATTGTAATAGTTTATTTTAATAAGCTAAGCTATCCATATAAGCTAACAGAAGAATTATGTAAAAGGTTTTGTTTTCATAAATTTGAGACAACATTAATTTTGGTCAATTGAAGAAATCACCTGACATAGACTTTGCTTTACTAAAGCATATATATATTTATATATATTTATTTTTTCAAGAGTCTTATCGTCCTTTTCTAGGTAACTGGAAACTTTTTTAAAAAAAAATTTGGGGGGCCAGCAGGTGGCATGGTGGTTAAGGGTGCTGGACTCCCACCCACATGACTGACCGTGATTCGAGTCCTGTACCTAAAGGCTTGCTTTCTCACTTTCTCTCTCTGTCCCTCTCTTGTCAAATTAAAAGATAAATAAAGTTAAATAAAATAATTTTAAAAATTATTAATTTAATTTTGTTTATTTATTACCATTCAGTTTTATCAGAGAGAGAGAAAGAAAGCAAGCCACCAGGTCTGAGACTCAAACCGCCATCAGCCATGTGGGAGTCCTGCGCCTTAACCACTGTGCCATCTGCTGGCCCTGTTAACTGAATTCACTGATTACCAAATAAAGGATATGAACTTCTACAGGTTAAGAATTCAGCAATTCTGTTTCCTATCATTTAGTAAATTTCAAAGACTCTTTTAATATCATCTTTAATAATTGGTTTAAATAGAATAATATTAGTAGAAATAGAAAAAAATCTCATTAACTTCTTTTTGACTGTACTTTTTACAATATAAGAATAAATTTCAGTTCTAATTGAGATGGAGTTATCCAGATTCAACATTAATACTACAATAAAAAGTAAATTACAGGCTTTCTGGTAATTTTACAGCGCTTTGAACTGCAAGATCCAGGAAGCTCTCTGCTTCCCAAAGAAATTGTCAGAGTGGAGAGGATGATTGAAAACCATTTCTCCCAAGCTTCTGTGACTATCCAGATTGCAGAAAAAGAGGTGATCATTAAGGTAATGAATCACAAGTTTATTATTTCTAAGTTTTACCTTGTTCTGCTTGTTTTTTGTTTTTCTTTTTTTAATGACCTAAATTAAATTTACGATCCCCTTATAAGACTGTTTGGCTCCATAGTACCACATCTGTGTATCTGTATATGTATCTAAAGTCATATATGTTTGAAAACTGGAAAAGTTAAGGAGAAACATAGGGATAGCCTTTCACCAAAAATCTGAAGTTAATCTTTGGGAAAATAGAATCAAATATTGATTAATCAATATTTGATTTATGAAAGCATTTTGTCTTGATTAAGAAATAATGTTTTCAAGCACATTTTAGTTACTGGAACACTGTCTTTTCAAATAAAATCTTTCTTAACTACATGCAACAGTTAAAAGACTAGCTACTTTTTTTTGGGGGGGGGTGGCGGGGAGGTTTTACCATAGGGCACATGCGCTCACCAGAAAGACAGAGAGACAGAGAGACAGAAAGTGATAAATCACCCGCAGGGGGATGGCTATTTCCATTCTCCTCTTGGGATCTTGGACACACATGCACCCGCGTCCGGCGTGAGTTTAAGCCACTGTGTCTGGGACTCAAAACGTGGTCAACTACATGAGAGTTCAGCGATATAGCTATTACGCTAACTGCTGTTCCCAAAAGAGGAGCTACTTTCAATTGAATAGTTTTTAGAAAAGAGCAATTATGGTGATCCTAGAGCTTTGTCTGATTGCTCTGTTCCCTTTCTCCTAACCCTTTCTTTTATGACCCTAAGTACACTAAGAGGTCATTGTAAATTAGTAGGTTCTCAAGAAAGTCATGATGTATTTTTCTATATTTTTCTATGTGAAACATGTCATGACTTTCCTGAGGGCCCAATAGAAAGCACAGTTTAAAAATACTAAGTAAGGGGCCAGCAGATGGCATAATGGTTACATCACTGGACTTCCATGTAGTCGACTGTGGTTCAAGTCCTGGACCTGGCAACTTAAAACTCACTCCATGTGTGGGTGCATGAGTGCCCAAGATCCCAAGAGAAGAATGGAGAAGAAGGAATTGCAGCATGGCCATCCCCCCCCAGGGTTTGATTTCTTACTTTCTGTCTGTCTCTCTGTCTCTCTGTCTCTCCAGCAAGTGTATATGCCCTATAGTAAAAATCTCTCTTAAAAAAAAATACTAAGTAAATGAATATAGGAAGAATAAATATGGTCTAATGTAGCAGAGCAAACATCACAATGAACTTCTTTTAGTGTGGTATTAATCTTCATGTTACTGTAATTAAACATTTATTAAAGTTTTCCTACTTACTGTATATTTCTCTTTGCATATATTATACCATTCAAATTTCCCAATAGCCCTAGAGATAAGTTTTATTATCTCCATTTTATAGATTAGAAAACCAAGGGTTCTAAATTGTGACACTGTGGTAAAATGCAATGCTTCTTTAAGGGAACCCATGTGGGAAGGTTTTGTGTTTGCACCTGGAGACCTCTCTGATTATGCCAGGCATGTGTATGCCCATGACATGGGGCTAGTTGAAGCTAGGGGTGGATTGAAGCATTAAAACCCTGTTCGGGGTTCTGTCTCTCCTTCTGTCTCTCTCACTCATGGAAGAAATGAATAAACCTAACCCGAAGGACAGAAGACTACTTAATAGAAAAAGGGCTTGCACATCGATGTTTATTGCGGCACTTTTCACAATTGCTAAGTCATGGAAACAACCTGAATGCCCACGAACTTATGAATGGTTAGAAAAACTGTGTCACTCTCACCCTCTGTCTCTCTCTGGTCAAACTAAAAAAATAAATGAATAAATAAATAAAATAAAATAAATAAATATATATATATATATATACATATATATATATATATTTGAAACCATACTGCTTCTGTTGTTACAGAGTCATAAAATTATACAAAATTATAAGACATATTTTGAACATTATCTTTAAAATTCAGTATTTTGAAATTTTGAAAGTTGTTTGTAAACTGTCAAGAATTATGGATTATGAGCTAAAATTTTTTGCTATGTAAAGTAAATGTTTGTGGAAAAATGTAAAAATAAATAAATGAAAGAAAAAAAAAGCCACAGAGAAAAAAAGAAAAAGAAATTAACCTAATGAAGGAAGGAAGGCAGATTCTTTGTCTGCAGTCATTCCAGTTAGATTTCCATGTAAGCATAAGAATGATCTTTTCTTACAGGCAAATCTAGTGTTGTCACTTCCAAACTTAAAATTCTTTATTAGTCTCCTGGGAGACTAATAAGGATAAAAAAATGAAAGGAGAGGGTCAGCAGGTGGTGTGGTGAAGACGCTGGACTCCAACGTGGCAAACTGCAGTTTGAGGTCCAGACCTGGTGGCTTGAAAATTACAGTAGGCACCTGCACGTGCGTGTGTGTGCCCAGACTCCTGAGAGGACAATAGAAAAGGGATTGGAGAAGGGACTGTGGCATGGCCATCCTCCCTGGGCCAGGGGACAGTAAAGAGGGGTGACTTCTCACTTTCTCTCTATCTCTCTCCTGCAAGCACATGTGCCCTATGCCAAAAACCTGAAGAGAGAGAGAGAAAGAGAAGAGATGTAAAGAATGGAAAGAGGTTTTATGGTTCTGAGTGGTAAACAAAGATAAGAGTGAAAAGGATTTGTATACATGCATTTTAGAAATCAGAGGGTTATTGGTGACTTTGGAGATTTCATTGAGCCAATGTAAAATTCTATGCTTCGCCGGGCATGTGTGCTTGTGTGCCCAAAATCCCAAGAGGAGAATGGAGGAGAAGAGATTGTGGCATGGCCATCCTCCCCGTGAGTGATTTCTCTCTTTCTGTCTCTCTGATGAGCACATGTACCCAAATATCTCTAAAAAAATTTTTTTAAACAAACAAATAAAATTCTGTGCTTAAAACTGTAATTTGGTGAGCCAGGTTGTGGTATACCGGTGATACAACTGGCCCCCCGTGGGAAAGGTCCTAGTTCATGAGCCTGCTGGATGTGTAGACACATGGCCATGATGCAGGCCTGCTGAGTAGGAATGAACTGCAGGGTGAAGGTCCTGTGTTTCTGCCTCTTATGGAAGAAATAAATACACTTAAAAAAAAAAAAAAAAGGAACTGGGATGTGAGAAAACACTTTAATCTCTAGTAGTGACATTGTTATTACAAATTATAAACAGCATGAAAATCACATGATTCTTAATAAACATTTATGACAGCATGAGACGTTAAGAGGACTACTTGATTTGGAAGTTTGATGATAATCATCATTCAATCTGTGAATCACAAAATAGGCGCTTCTTTATAGAAATGTCAAAAATCGTATAGAGTTGAGTTGAGCGAAAAATTAGTAGGGGTCTTTGAAGTGGCAGTTAATGTGCTTTTAATTTACTAGTATTTTGAGAAAACATATACATATTATAGTTACTTCTTTTTAATTCTAGGTGCCAGCTGGGACCAGGCGATTAAATCAACCCTGTTCGTCAGATCGTTTCATACAGACTTTAAGCCATAAGCAACTACTGGCTGAAATGATGCAGTCCCACATGGTTAAGGACCTATGTCTAATTGGAGGGAGGGTAAGAGTGACAGTCACTTCAAACTTCTATTTCTTGGCTTTTGGTTGTTTTTACTTAATCCTTTTAATGATTGTGTTTTCATTTGTAGGGTTGTGGAAAAACAGTTGTTGCTAAGAATTTTGCTGATATCTTAGGATATAATATAGAACCTATCATGCTCTATCAGGTATGTCGCTTATTTTTAGCACTTGAACTATACATATCAGTAAAATATATGGATATTCTTCCTGTTAAGTTATAACCTGTTAATTAAGGTTCCCCCCTTATTACATGTGGAGATGACTACAGTATTCCAACCCTCCTGTGCAGGGAGGAGTGATGGGGGGGTGCTGACAACCAGGTTGCAGGAGAACAAGGTAGACCAGTAAGGCAGAATTTGTATTGTGGTTATAGGCCACGATTTCGCAGGGGCCCTCTTCACCAAAGACAGCTCAGAGAGGACAGCGATGAAGAGAATAAGGAAAATCAAGGAGAAGAGACCAAGGTCAGCAGACACCTCAACTTTGGTACCAACCCAACTTCAATTACCTACGAAGATGCCCAGAGAACCCTAAACCATCAGATGGCAAAGAAACAAAAGTGGCCGGTCCAACAGCTGAGAATTCGTCTGCTCCCAAGACTGAGCAGGCCAGGGTTGAGTAAATGCCGGCTTACCATCTCTACCATCATCCAGTTTAGTCATCCAACAGGAAGTGAATATGAAGTTCCAGCAGTAAAAAATGAACGAAAGATTGGAGCTGAAAACCTTAAGTGCCTGCCTTTTGCCCATTGACCACATAACTAGAACTCTCTGCATTATGTATGCAGCATGGAGTTTTTATTATTTTTACCTAAGGATGTCTTGTTTTGGTAATGACAAACGTGTTTTTTTAAAAACGCTTGTTTTTTCTCAATACATCTTTAAAGGTTTTTAAATTGTTTCATATCTGGTCAAGTTGAGGTTTTTAAGAACTCATTTTTAATTTGTAATAAAAGTTTACAATTTGATTTTTTCAAAAAGTCAACAAATTGCAAGCATCTATTAATAAAGATCTTAAATAATAATAAAAGTATTTCAATCTAGATAAATAACTGAAAGAGCAACCAAATTAGAGTGGAATTAAAATTATTTTATTCATTTATTTTTTTTCTGTTAGAATTTATTAGACATTGCCCCTTTAGAGCATCTGGAAGTGCATTCATTATAGGATATTTGATGTGTATAACATATCAGGGCCTGTTTTTCAAGAGAGATTCATTTGGTGTGCACATGTATTCAAACAGTACATTTGCTGGCAATTTAGAAATCTAAACAATAGGGAGGCCCCCGACTTGGTGGTTAAGGGTGTTAGACTCCCACAATGGCCGACCGTGATTTGAGTCCCAGACCTAGGGGCTTACTTTTTCACTCCTCCCCCCCGCTCCCCCTTCTCACTCTGTCCTCTTTTAGTCAAATTTAAATAAATAAATAAATAAATAAATAAATTTAATTAAAATAACTATTTTAGAAAAAGAAATTTAAACAATGGATTTCAGTTTATAGTGGGAGGTAGTCACTAAGTAGATCCTTATATTTTATTATGATAAATATACGTAATATACAGTTTACCATTTTAATCATTTTTAGATGTATAATTCACTGGCATTCAGTACATTTGTAACCATTATCACTTTATTTTTCCAGAACGTTTTCATTATCAGGAACAGAAACTCTGTACCCATTAAACAACAACTCCTAATTTCTTCCTTTACCCAGACCCTGGTAACCTCTATTCAACTTTCTTTTCCAATGAATTTACCTATTCTAGGTACCTCATATAAGTGGACTCACACAACTTTTGTTCTTTTTTTGTCTAGGTTATTTTTCTTAATATAACAGTTTTGGGATATAGAATCGATTATCAAATACACTATTTGCAAGAATTTTCTCTCATTCTATGAGTTATCTTTTTACCCTCTTTTTTAAATTTTTTTTTATTTTGCTATAGGGCACATGCACTTGCCAGAGAGACAGAGAGAGAGAGAGATAGAAAGTGAGAAATCACCTCCCAGGGGGGATGGCCACACCGCAATCTCTTCTCCTCCATTTTCCTCTTGGGATCTTGGGCATGCATGAACCTGTGCCCGGAGTGAGTTTAAGCCACCGGTTCTGAGACTCAAACCGTGGTCGAATATGTGGGAGTCCAGTGACATAGCCGTTACACTAACTGCTGGCCCTTCTTTTTGCCCTCTTTATAGTGTGCTTTGATGCCCCAAACTTTTAAATTTTGTTGAAGTCTAGCTTATCAAATTTCTTTTGCTTTTCGTGTATTGGTATTATATAAATCATTGTCAGGCTTAATGCCATAAATAATTTTCCCTATGCTGTCTTCTAGGAGTTTTATAGTTTTTCTTTTACACGTGCCCAGCATGAGTCTAAGCCACCGGGTCTGGGACTCAAACCGTGGTCGACTATGTTGGGAGTCCAGTGACATAGCCATTACACTAACTGCTGGTCCCAAGATTTCTGATCCATTTTGAATTACATATGATATGAGGTTAGGGTCCAATTTCAATTTTTTGCATATGGCTATCCTGTTTTCCCAGAACTAATGTTGAAAAGAATGTTTCTTCATTGGGTGGTCTTGGCACTCTTAGGCCAAGAGTGGTGTGATGGCTAAGGTGTTGGACTCCTACATAGCTGACTATAGTTTAAGTCCTAGACCCAGCAACTTCCTTTCTTTCTCTCGCTCTCTCTCTCTCTCTGTCCCCCCCCACCCCGTGTCTCTTTCTGATGAGTACATGTGCCCTATAGCAAATTAATAATAATAGTAAAATTAAATAGTAATTCTTTAAGGAAAAAAAAGAATCAGTTGCCCATATATGTGAAGGTTTATTTCAGGGTTCTCTATTCTACTCTATTGGTCTATACATCTGTCCCTATGCTGGTTCCACACTGTTTTGATTACTGTGGTTTTATAGTTAATTTTAAAATCAGCAAGCATGATAATTTCAGCTTTGTTCTTATTTTCCAGGATAGTTTTTACTATTCAGGGTCTCTTGAGATTCCATGTGAATTTTAGGATGAGTTTTTTTCTGCAAAAAAAAAAAAAAAAAGCCATTGAAATTTTGCTGGAAATGATATTGTATCTGTAGATTATTTTAGGGAGTACTGTCATCTTGATAATATCAAGTCTTCTAATCCTTGCGCACAAATATATTTCATGTATTTTACATGTTCTATAATTTCTTTCGACAATGTTTTGTAGATTACAGTGTCATAAGTCTTTTGTCTCCTTGGTTACATTTATTCTTAAGTATTTTTGAATAGATTATTTTAGTTGATGTAGATGTTGCATATAGTATGGTAAAAATACTTACAGCTGGTGTACTTACCAAGTGAAATTTTCTGTCATGTATATTTTTCTGTAACGATCTTTCTTGAGATATTTTTATCCTGCTCATATTTTGGTTCTGTATCTCAGTATTTGGCTGATTATGTTAGCTACATACCTATTGCAGAGACTATTTTTATTTTGAAAGTAAAGTGATACTGATTACTTACATTTTAAGATGATTTTTATAGGGACTAACAATGGCATAATGGTTACATCCCTGGACTCCAACATGGCCTACCGCAGTATAAGTCCCGGACCTGGTGGCTTAAAACTCACACCGGGTGTGTGTGTGTGTGTGTGTGTGTGTGTGTGTGTGCGTGTGCATGCCCAAAATCCTGAGAGGAGAATGGATAAAGGATTGCAGTGTGGCCATCTCCTCTGGGGTGTGTGTGTGTGTGTCTGTGAGTTTTCTCTTTCTGACTCTCTCACTCTGTCTCTCTGGTGAGTACACATGTGCTGTAGCAAAATTGCTGTCTAAAAAAAAAAGATGCATTTTACATTTTTAGTTTATTCTTTGGTTGCACTTTTTAATTGTTTTCAACACTAAATACAGTTATAGTAAAATATTATTTCTGAAAAATTACATTCAATTCAGGTAGTCGTCATGACCTTAAATGATAGAAAATTATATTAGCAGCTCATATTTCAAATGATTCTGTTGAGAAGATTCCTTTCATGCTGCTTTAAGGTACTTTATGTATACTGATTGAACTGATCAAAATTTACAAGGAATTATATTTTACATAGTACTGATAACTTTTGGGCTATAAGCAGGAGAATCTAGCATAAAAGTACATGTGAGATTTTTGTTTTTCTTTTTTTTCTGGATGATTTAACTCATTCAGAACACCAGGATACTAGTTAGGACTTTGAATCGTGTTGAAAACTGTTTTGGAACCAAAAGAGAAGTCATCCTGTGTTTGTATGAGCTGTAGTAGATCTAGATCTCTACTATTTTGTACAGTTTTCATGACCATATTTCAAAAGACAGGTAAAGGTAGGTAGTTTAAAAATGAGATAAATGGGGCCAGCATATGGCATAGTGGTTACGTTGTTGGACTCCTGCATGGCCAACCACAATTGGAGTCCTGTACCCAGTGACTTCAAAATCACGTTGGGTGCATGTGCGTACGCATCCATGATCCCAGAAGGAGAGTGGAGGAGAAGGGATTGTGGCATGGCCATCCCCCATCACACCCTACCCCCCCCAAGCCCCGGAGCATAATTTCTCACTTTCCCTTTCATTGTGTGTGTTCCTCTTTCTCTCTTTCTGACCAGCACATGCTCCCTATGGCAAAAACCTCTAAAAAATAAAAAAAAAAATTAAAAAGAGAGAGATAAATATAATTAAAGTAAGTAACTGCTGGATGAACTTAAAAGTTTCAAATATTTGTTATGAAGAACCTATGATATTAAAAGGTGAAATCTATGAAGCAGTATGTGATCCAAGTTTATGAAATCACGAATATGAGTTAAGATGAAAGGACTGTAAATAGTAGGAATACTCTTGAACACGTAGGGAGAAGAAAATCTCTATAATGTTCTGTAGTAGTGTCTTAGAACCCACCAAAAATATATTTTGAAAGGAATTTTTATAAACCTAATTATGGGCCATCTAGAATTTTTGAGAGAACTAAGGATATTTGAGGGGGTATATCTCTAACTAAACGTATGCAAGATGCCTTGAAAAATACCCAGCTGTTGTACATAATCCCACCACTTGGTGTCTTTGCCAGAGATCAGAAAATAGATGGTTGTCCTAGTGTGTTAGTTCATCTTTCCATACCCTTCCATAGCTCATGTTAGAAAC